ATATCCGCGGAACGCCTGCCCAGCTCTCGCCGGGACTCACTACAATCCAAAATTCAAAAGTTAGAAATACTTCAAATATTTTCAATATATAATTAAAGTACTCCAAAACATTTCATACTTAATATTAGTTAACCTTCAATCTTAAATACAACCCAAAAGAATATGTAGTACAGTCATATGCTACAATACAACTTAAAGTCTTCAAAAGAAAACAACCTAATACTATTCGCGGGCACTCTCGGTCATGAACCCTGTTAAGGAAAACAAAAAGCGTGGAATGAGCTAAACAGCCCAGTGAGGTTCCAAGACACACTAGCAGTTCTAATAAATTAAGTACATTGAGCATAACACACATGCGGTTCAAGGTTGCACATTGGCACATTAGAATGAAACAGTTATCATTGTACAGAAATAAACACACATTGAAAGGATACGGTGTTCACTTGGAATGATTTCGGTCCACTTCACCTTATAACTCCAGTGATTTCCTCGGTTGTCTGGCCATCACCTTATCCCTCCAGTGGTAATACTCGAGTATACCGATACGGTGGTCCAGGGTTCCAACCTACCCGATCGAGCCCAGTCCTGGCTCGAGCAGGTTAGTAACCAAGGGCAGGATTCAGTTCAGCTTAGAGCTTACAACATGCGCAAGTAATCAAGTAAATCGGTAAACGGTAGTAGTTCACAGTTAACGGTAGAAATTTATCATTTTAGTAGGTCGAGTGAGATAAAATACACATTCGCCTTAAAACGGTGGACAGTTACATAGGAGCAATTATATGGTGCACTTAACACTTAAGCACACAATAACTATGAAGTAAACATGTAGCAAAACTGTTCAAGTCACGTACACCTATAAGGAACATTCACCAATTCAAAATAAGTGAATAAGTGAGCAAATAAACTCTTTAGTTGTCCCCACAGGGATCTCCTTGGAAACCCTCTCGAGTACCTGAAGAAATAGTGATCAATTATCACTCACACATACTCACGACCACGTAACACCCAAAGAAGAAAGTACACGCGCTTAAAATTTAAGACAATATCTTATAAGAGTTTTACTCAACGAAAATCGAGATTCAAAATAGGGATTTAAGATCACAAGTTCGAATCAAGTTAAAGGAACTTTTTGCTAACTCATTAAAATAATGCTCAAAGAAAACTCAAAGCCGTCTTTCATTCAAGTCGTGGTAAGTGAACCTCCATTCCAAAAGAAAGTGCCAATTTCACTTTTGGCACGAAAATCGAGAAAAAGGTAAATAGTTTTCATCTCCCAAAACTTCTAATCTCATGACCCAAAAGTTAGGATATAAAGGACGTTCACATTTTCCAAACTAATGGAGATAAAAAATCATCCAAAACTCCACTCATTTCATATAAAATATCAAAGATAAGGTTCCAAGATTGAAGTGTAAAACTAGTGCAATTCACCCAGAACTACTCTAGCCAAACGCTTCCTTTTTGGAGTTTAAACTCACGGAAATCGAGACAAAAAGAACTAGGGTTTGAAATTCATTTCTCAAGTATAAAATAAGGTGTTAAAGTCACAAGAGAATTTGTATCATTCATGAAATCGATTTTAAAATAATCTATCAATATCGAAATAAGAGAACGAGTTCTCAAAAAAAACTCATTTCCCAACAAAGCGGAAAATTTCAACTTTACGCGTCAAATTTAGAAAAATCAGATCTTGCACTCAGTAGGTCCAAAAATGGAAAAATCTGTACTATTGGAAACTAGTTTCAAAGTACAAAAAGTTCCTAGAAAAGCCTTTTCCAAGATTCTAAATGGAATACAATCATCTTTCAGCTCAAAGTGGCTGATCTGAGCAAGCAAAGCAGTTTCAGTCATGTTTTTCGTCAAACTTTGGAAATTCGGCAAAATTCACAGAAAGTGAACTAGCCTATTGAAATTCGTAACACAATAAGAGTTTCAAACAAGGTTTTCAACACAACAAATGGAACTAAATTCGGAGTTTTGAGTATCGAGATACATCAGTTCAAAGTTGGTCGCGTTTTGCAAACTGTTCAGTCATTTTCCAGATTTGAAAAGCTATCTTTGAAGTATCATTTAGCCATCGAAATGGCATTGTAAATACATCAAATTTGGTACACTAAATATTCCATATGTGACCTATATCTCTACCAAATTTGATGGAAAAACTCACGTGGAAAGATAGTTAACAAAATAGTCAAAATTCGGGAAAATTTCAAAGTAAATCTGCCGTCCGTGGTTCTCTTTCCTTTTCAAACATTTTGTCCCGCACAATCAACCCCAATTAGCTCAAATGTTGAAACTAAGGTTCCATAAACATCCAATGAGCAATTTAGAGGCACTTGACATCAAAGTTTTCAAAACAAAACATTCCAAAACAAGTTTGACCCTTCGGCCAGCAAGAAGAGAAAGATTTCCAGATTTCCATCTTTGTCATAGTTTGGAAATTGTACCATATCTCACTCAATATAACTTGAAATTGAGAATAGTCAGTGGCGTTGGAAACTAGATTCAAGACTCTACATTTCGTCAGAACAAGTTATTTTCAAAATCAGTTCACAAAGGAGAGAAAATTAAGCCACAAGTTGCAGCTTTCTACTTTTCTCTTGGACAGACAATCAGAACAGGGCAGCAAATTTTGCCGAATCACTACAGCTCACTCAGTTCGAACTAGATGGTGAATTTTATACCGTTGGAAAGCTACAAATGTCTAGTTTCAAATACCACAAATGGCACTTTATTTTGACTTTTGTACAAAGAGATATGTTCAATCAAAGTGGTACTGTTCGGACAGTCTAAACTCATTTCTAGGTTTCTTCACATTTCAAAAATTCAAGTTTTGCTCAACCAATTCAAATGATTTTTTGTAGAAACTTTCTACTCACAATATATAACATATATACATCAGTTTCACAGTCATTTGCGTATCAAAATTTCAAAATTTAGGCAAGGCAATAACAGGACAAATTCGGCCAAGTCCATGCACCAACTTTCCTTCGATTTTCTCTTCATTTTCTATCCATAATCAACTCATCTACACACATAACAATCATATTCAAGCATTTACACCTCAATCCAGCTTCCTAGAGGCCACCTCAAGACCTCTACCTAAGATTAAAGTAAATAAAATGGATTCCTCAAGTCATCTACCTAGTTTCATGCTTGGGTTTCAAACCCTTGCCATTAAAGCTCCAACTTTGAAGAAGAATGGAAAAATTCAAGGTGGATGAAGGCTACCTCTTAGCTCTTGAAGAAACCATAAATTTTGCACCAAAAACTCCCAAGAAAACCCGCAAGATGAAGCCTTCCTCCAAGCTAAAGTTGCTCTCCAAGTGGTATGTGAGTTGTGTGAAGATTTAGAGGTGAAATGGTGTAAGATTGGATGGAGTTTTCTTTCCTTCTTCTTCCTTGGGCTGCTGGCCGAAAAATGGAGAGAGATGAGAGAGGTTTGTGTGCTAAAACTTGGGGAGAAGAATGGAATAGTAGCCATAAGTGTTGGGCCAAAAAGTCAACTGTTAATAGTTGTCGCGCGCGGGTTTCGTACCACTATTTTCTCTCTTGTTTGTTATACTTGTGCACTAAATCTCCAGTGTACTTCCTTTAGCACTATAATAATTTACTCTTAGTAGTCTAGTATAAGTTTCTTAATCTCCACTTAGTCGCTCGGACGCGCAACACGCGTACTTGCACGAACTTACGACGCGCGCTCGAAAAATTGAAACTTAAGAAAAATTCATGCACTACTAGGGTTATTAAATATAACTAGGGCAATTAATTATAAAAATACCTAAATTAAGAAATAAAAACACGAGTCCTCACACTAACCACGTGGTGTTAAGGGTAGTTGAGAAGAGGAGACAGTTGACCCATGACCTTAGGGTAGCTCGAGCAGAGAGAGTGGAGATGAGGGCCACTATGGAGGCCAAAGCCACTAGGATTCAGGAGTTGGAGACTAGGGTTCTCGAGGAGTGTCAGAGGGCTGACGCCTCCCACGCTCAACTTCAGGCGACCGATGGGCGACTTATTTGGATTGTAGAGGAGGTGAGGGACTGTGTGGATGGCATTATGACGGAGTGTGTGACCATGGCTGATCACATAGAGGAGGCCATGGGTGGAGGAGGACCTGAGGATGCTGCCCATTACTATGAGGAGAAGATAGAGCCCATGGAGGAGGATCCTTCTGAGAATGTGGGGTCTACTAGTTCGGTCCACTTATACTAGTGATCTTGTGATCTTTTGACTTTTGCTAAGGACTTAGAAGGGGTGATCCTCGTCTTAAGACCTGTTGTATTTTGTTGCATATACCCCTATATTTTGAGACACTTAGATGCCTATGTCTTGTACTTGACATTATTGAATTGTTTTATACACTCTTGACTTGTAACATGACTTTTAGTTTATGTAAAGAATTATGCTTTAATTTTAAAGTGTTCTTGCAACTTGCATATGCTTTTAAATTTCTATACTTATTTTTTCTCTTTTAATTATGCGTTTAGACTCTTGCTATATATGGATTGGCGAGGACGTGGATGGGGTCGTGGGCGTGGGTTTCGGCAACTCCGCACTCCCGAGAGAGATGAGGGATCAGCGACTGGTCCGAACCAAAATCCTAGGAATGAAGGGGATGACCAAGTGACTACGGCCCTTAACTGCATAACTGATGTCCTTGAGCGTCTAGCTGAACGTCAAGGCCCTAAGCCGGTCAACCCGCCTAGAAACCAAGAGAGGGGTGACGATAGAGCCCTAGAGCGTTTCCTTAAGTTCACCCCACCTAAATTTCACGGGGATCTGATCTCGAAGTGGCAGAAAATTAGTTTGAAAGGATGGTGGAGATTTTTGCCACCCTAGATTATGACGAGGAGAGGCAGGTGAATTTTGCCAGTTTTCAGTTCGAGGGAGCGGCGCGCTCATGATCAAATGTTGTGAGGGCGAAATAGGAGAGAGAACAAACCCCCTGAACTTGGGCAAATTTTGAGAGGGAGTTTAATGCCAAATTCCTCCCGCCAATGATACAAGAAAAGAGGAAGGACGACTTTATTAAGTTGAAACAAATGTTGCTAAGTGTAGTCGAGTATGAGGAATGGTTCACCAAACTTTTCAAATTTGCCCTAGATCTAGTGGTCACGGAGCGCAAAAGGAAAAGGAAATTCATTCAAGAGTTAAATATAGAAATCCAAGAGTCCCTAGCAACAACCAAGATCACCATTTTCACGGATGCCTTGGATAAGGCACAGAGGATAGAGAATGCTAAGTCTCAATCCAAAACCTTTCATGCTAGAAAGAGGAGCAATCCAAGCAATACCCCTGAACTGTCTGAAAAGTCTACCCAACCCCTTAAGATGGAAAGAGGGGCTGGAGGAGTGAGGATGCCCGGAAAATCAGGAAGAGCTCCATCAAGGGAGCCCCGCCAAAAGGAAATCATAGTGGGTGAGGTCAGCAAAAGAAAATTCTCAAGCTGGTCAGTCCGTGACTACTCGTGTGACTTGTGGATATTGTGGCAAGCCTAATCACACCGAGGCCGAGTGCTGGAGAAAGCAAGGAAAGTGTCTGCTCTGCGGTAATGCCGAGCATCAGATATCGAGTTGCCCTAATGCCCATAGGGAAGGAGGAAATACTCAGCAGCCTGCTAGGTCCGTTTCAAAGCAGTCGAGTGCTGGAGGGAGCCAACCAAAAGTGCCAGCTAGGCTTTATGCCTTAAACAACCAGCAAATCCCTAACCCAACCGAAGTGGTGGAAGGTACGATCCCCTTTTTTCATCGCCTAGTTAGGGTTTTAATCGATCCCGAGGCAACTCATTCATTCATAGATCCTAACTTTATGAAGGGTATAGATGTAAAGTGTGATTTCTTACCTTTTGATTTGGAATTTAAGACTCCTACGGGGAACCAGTGCCTAATTGCTAATAAGGTTTATAGAAATTGTGAGATTTGGGTTGGTGAGAGGAAATTGTTGGCAGACTTAATGAGCCTAGCAATTAAGGGATATGATGTGATACTTGAAATGGATTGGTTAGATCGATACCATGCTCAATTGGATTGTAAGATGAAATTAGTAGAATTACGCATCCCAGGGGAAGCAACTTTGAAGTTAGATGTGATGGATAGACTAGTATCGTCTACTTTAATTTCAGGGATTCGAGTTAGAAAATTGTTGAGTAGTGGGGGTAAAGGATATCTAGATTTTCTTATAAATGCACTTAGGGATAAGGTGAAGTTGGAAAACGTGCCAGTAGTGAAGGAATTTTTCGATGTTTTTCTCGAGGAGTTAGAGACGTTTCCTCTGGAGAGAGAAATAGCATTAAAAATTGATGTAGCTCCGAGGACGGCACCTATCTCTAAGACGCCTTACAGGATGGCTGTGAGAACCTTGAGAAGTATAGATATACATATATACATGTATGTACACGTTAAATGTGCATTTTAGACTTTTAATAAACTTTATTATTATTTGATCTTAAATAAGTGTGCAAAAATAATTTGTTTTAGGTCACAAATAATTCAATTGTGCAAATATTAGATTATATGATTTTTTGCCAAGTTACGTTAATATTTCTTGTCAAAGAGTGTGTCATTGCTTTTATATTAATTCTTTGATTTCAACAGCTAATTTCAAGTATTAATATTTTTTTTATGTAGGTTATTTTACTGCCTTGATTTTGGTTCTTTGATTTGCGATAGTTATGTTTAAGTGTTAATAACGTTAAATTTAGAACTAAGATAAAAACAATTTAGGTTCAAAACCCTTATAATTATTCTTAGGACGTTGTATTTCGATAATTGAATTTTTGCAAGGTTAGTATACTAGTAGGCATTCGAATTACATTTGGGGTAAACTCTGGATTTAGTTTAGGATTGAGGGCTTAAGTGAAAATTTGGATGAAATGTGAAAAGACCAAAATAGCCCTCCTCCAATTCAAATTCACCATGCAGCCATGGAATGATTCTTGAACAAATGCAATTTCAAACACTTCCCAATTTCTGCCGAATCCATTTTCCACTTCACATTCCAGCACCTTCCATCCTTAGTGCCGGTTCCTTTCTCCACTACCACACACAACTATATCAACTACTAATCACCACAAACCTTCCATATCATTTGTTCCACACGTCTATTTCCTTTTGCTGCCATGAGCCGTGAGTGAGTAGCTTCCTTGGAATTAACGACCGAGAGGGAGAGCCGAGCTTCTCATTGTTTTCTTTCGGCCGTAAGCCAACAAAGAAAAAAAAGGGAGACCTGCTGCTCATTCTTCATTCTAGCCGTGAGCAGGTGGAGAAAATCGAGAGCTAAACTACCCCAATCCAGCCGCAAGTTTGAGCAAGGGAGAGGGAGAGTGGCGGACTGAAATTTCTGGGCTGCCGAAGGGAGGAAATTATTTCTGCTGCTAGCCGTGTGTGTGTAAACTCCAAGCTGAGGTAATTTCTAGACTTGAACTAGTTGGTTATGGGTTGATGAAGCTGAACAGAGGCATGCATGTGAGGGTTGTGCCGTTAGATGATAGATTAAGTCTCAAAAGAAAAAAAAATCTGATTGAGAACGAAGTGAAGTTGCCGAGAGCTTGAGCTGGAAATCTCAGTTTCAATTTGTTAATTTATGACAATCTGAGCTTAGTTATGTGTTTAGCTAGCTAGAAACTAGATGATTATGCTATTCGTGAGGGTAATCAGTTCGGATTAAGCAAGAAAGAAAAAAAAATGAAACAGAAATCTGGTTGCATGCATGTCAACCGAGAGAATTTGGTTGAAATTCTGGTTAGATGGTGATATTTGATGACATTTGAACTTGGTCTTGGACCCAATCTGATAGATAGTTTGTTATTTGGTGTTGCATGTGAACGTTGTGGCCAGGAATTCGGTTGCATGGCTGGAAATTTTTATTGGAAGTTGCTGGACTGCTAAACAAATTTTCCAGCTTAGCCGATGGAGTTGTTTTGGGAGTTGTATGGGTAATTTAGTGTGAAATTTGCTGAAAAGTGTTTGTTTCTCACTTGGTTGCGTGTTTAGCTAACTAAATACTGGATGATTAAGCCCTGCATGAGATTTATTAGCAGTGTGTAAACCAGAAATTTGAAGGAAAACAAAATATGGATGCATGCATGTCAATCGTGGGTTGGAATGAAATTTCTGGTTGGATGATTTTTTTTTATGATGTCCGCACTTGGATTGGATCAAAGCTGATTGATAGTTAATTATTTTGATCATGCATGAAGCTGAGATGAGTCGTGTTTAATAAAAAAAAAAAGAAAGAAAAGGAATCTGAAATTGTGGCTGAGAGAAAGAGTTGAGCATTTGATTAAGTTTTCTTCAAGTTTGTAGCTGAGACTTTCATATTGGATGCTTAAGATCTATTTATAACCTACTAATCACCTTTTGCATGTTGGGTTGGAGTAAAAATTGGAGAAAACTAGGGACAAAAGCTCTATAAATGAACTACTATATTGCTGGAAATTGGATTTGATAGCTGGCCGAATTAATTGAGGTTTATGAGTGAGATTATTTTCTGGCTTTGTGTGTTATTCGTTCTAGTTTGGTTTGGACAGATTATAAGCTATACGTTTAGTGTCTCTAGCAAATAAAAGTTGGATATCTTAAACTAAAATTTGCCGGAATCTTCCTGACTATCAAAACAAGAAAAGAAAATCTGAATTTTTAGAATTATTCGGGAGTCAAGTTGGCTGTGGTTTTTCTTTTGTTCTGGTTGAATTGTGATTGCAAATGTTTGTTTGTTGTCAAGAGCTAATGATTGATGAAGCTCTTGGCCATTTGAGTAGCTTTTGCAGGAATCTAATTTTTGGTGAATTTGTTCAAGTGGTTGGCTGAAATGTACTTGGAAGGTCCATAGTTTGTGATTTAGAACTTGTCTTGATACCTTGGACTTCCTTTGTTGAATTTTGATTGTACTAGAATCTGTTGAGACCTAGGGCTAATGATTGATGAAGCCCTAGTGAAATTTATATTTAAATTGTGCTTTAGCTATATTGGCAACTTGGAATACAATGTGCAAATGAAATGGAATCGTGAAGTCCGTTCTAGTCTTTTGAATTCAAGTATCTTTAAATCAAATCTTGTGGGAATATTTTGCCCTAATATTAAGTTATATATACTGAGTTTGGTACGTTAATAGTAAAACTTAGATATTGGGACTTTTAAAACCTTGCCGACTAGTTATGCTTTTCTTTGCTTAAACCGGTTTTATTACCTTTAGGGAGTAATTGCAATAACTACTAAACTTTAAGTTTTTCGTAAAACTACCCTTGACTAGTTGTTTTAGAGAAAATTTGTTAAAAACACTAGATTTGAATAATTTCAAATAAAAGACATAGAAAATTTGTTTGGCAAGAAACCTTGTTTAAAACTAATTTGGCTCTAGTTTGCTTCTAGAAGGGAAATATCTTTAAAAAGAAACCACATGAAACATTTTATTCCTTTTCCAGTTTTAATTTTAAAAGAAAGTTATTGATTTGTTTCGAGGAATTAAGCTAGTTTTATACAAGATAATCTTTTATTTATAAACCAAGGGTTTGTTTAGTAAAACTTATAGTTTTCAAAACTTGAATTTTCTAGGGTTTAGCGAGGACGTGGACTTCGATTCCCAGCTTGACCTTTGAACTTCACTCTTGGTGAGTGTCCGTGCTTGTTCTATGATTAACTTGTTAAAGTGCTTTCTTGACTTGTTATGTGATGTTTGGAAAGTGGTTTTCCTGATCCGTCGAAGTGGGCAGTGTGTACTTTATCGCACTAGTCCTTTCGAGTGGTGACTTACTTGAAATGTTTTCTCGAATGTCTTGCTTGCACTATTTAAGTACTGAGTGGGGGAATGTACCACACCTGAGGGTGGGAGGGCCTCTTATCCTATCTCAAGTACTAAAACCATGAATTTGTTGACTGGAGCGTGGACTCGTCAACTAATCTACCAGGCAGGGGAATGTACCACACCTTAGGGTGGGAGGGCCTCTTATCCTGACCTGATAACTACGTGTTGTGACGTCGTTGGGTGAATCCCCCGACTAGTTTATAAAAAGGTATACTCGAGTATTACCACTCTCGTGTTTGGCGTTCGGGCCCGGTAAAGGGGTATGATTGGTGGCCGGAGTTAAGAAAAATAAGAAGATCTACATGGACCTTAGGTAGTGAAAGTTGACGGAGGGTCGGCTACGGAAAATTTTGATCAAGTTCGTGGAGAATGGCTCCTGAGAGCCCCTGTATCCTATCTTGTGTTGTTATACGCTTTCTAATTGTTTAATTTGTGAAATTGTTACTCGCTGTTTGATTTACGTGATTGCATGTATTGGGGCACCACTGAGTTTTAGCTCACCCCACGTTCATTTGTTTTCCTTGACAGGTCCTGGCTCTTGAGCAAGACTTGAAATCTAATTTCACTTTTATGCATGTAGTTTGAGTTAAACATTGTATCTTTTATTTTGGATTGCCTCATGAAGCTGGAAAAGTGTAAACCCTGGAATTGTTATTTGGCTTGTACTAATGTATTTGGATTGTATGTTTTTGTTGCCTGGTTTGTAACGCGTAAGGTATTTAAGAGTCGACGATTGGCTATCTTAAAAATGCTGTTATCTCTGAAGTTAATGTGATTTTAGTCATCAGCCTATTTGGAAGGAAACGGTGTTGTAATAGCTTAGGTTATTCTTCGGAAGGATTTGGGCTAGATTGCTTGCGTGAGTCCTGGCGAGAGCTAGGCAGACGGCCCGCCAACCCTCTGGTTCGCCTTAGGGGGAAGTGGGGTCGCCACAATGGCTCTAACTGAGTTAAAAGAATTGAAATTACAGTTGCAAGATTTATTAGAAAGAGACTTTATTAGAGAAAGTAATTCACCGTGGGGAGCTCTAGTGCTCTTTATTAAGAAGAAAGATGGAAGCTTGAGGCTATACATAGACTATCGAGGCTTGAACGATGTGACTATTAAGAACAAATACCCTTTGCCTCACATAGATGAGTTGTTTGATCAACTGCAAGGGGCCATGGTATTTTTCAAGTTGGATTTGAGGCAGGACTATTACCAGTTGAGGATCCTAGAAGCGGATGTGCCTAAGGCCGCTTTCAATTCGAGATATGGGCACTTTAAATTTACAGTTATGCCTTTTGGGTTAACTAATGCGCCAGCAGCATTTATGAATTTGATGCATCGGGTCTTTAAGCCGTATTTGGATCAATTTGTGGTGGTATTCATTGATGACATATTGGTGTGCTCTAAGTCTCGAGAAGATCATGAACGGCACTTGAGAATAGTTTTGCAAACCCTGAGAGAGCACCAACTTTTTGCTAAGTTCAATAAGTGTGAGTTTTGGCTGGAAGAATTAGCCTTTCTAGGTCATATAATTTCTAAGGAAGGGATTACTGTGGATCCAGTGAAGGTAGAAGCCGTTTCTAAGTGGAAACAACTAGAAAACCCTACCGAAATTCGAAGTTTCT